AAAAAAATGAGAACTTGAAAGTGGGAAATCTACCTGAGGATTTTAGAATAATCCATTAAAAACAATGGAAAAATGTGATCATAATCTAAATAAACTGGAACTAATATTTAACAGAAATGTACTTGAAACTTACTTGTCTATTTTACCCTCTGTGCTGTTCAAAAGGTTCATGAGTTTCCTCTGTGCCTCTTCCAGCATCTCCTGCCTCACATCCACTGCAGCATGGACACAAACAGAGTGACAACTTTAACAGTAATGTTCAGGCCTCTACTGCACATGGGCCACTTTGTGCCTCTTGTGCTTCAACATCTGCAGTGAAACCACAGTGACACAAGTTACAGACTACTCTAATCCTTCTTGATTAAAAATATAACAACGACTGCACAAATACATTTTTCTCTCCCGTTTATCAACAGATGTAACGACAAATGGTAAACGACAAGCAATAAATTGTACTATTTTGTAGGAAATTAGGATAACACAACAACAACAAAAAATAAAAATGTGTACGTTTTCTGGCTAAGGTGGAAAATACAGTGGAAAAAAAAATGTTTGGCAAAGTCTTAAATGAGTCAGAAAAACTTTCAACAAGCTGTTAGTGTTGCAAAAAGATCTGGATTTACAAAGATTTCAGGCTATTTTCTGAATCTCAGATATGTTAATCTGTGGTTCAAATGACAGAGCAATGCTCCACAGACATACCGAAGCTAGACTGTTCAGTGCGTTCTCAAAGTTAATCAACTATTTTTAGACACAATGTAAATTTTCATATAGGTGACTGATTTGTAAAGAAAATATAGCGCCTCGTATCAGGTCTGGACAAAGTCTGAACAGCCAGAGAGCAGTAAGGAAAAAAACAACAGTCTGAGAATTTGCTGTGACGTAATGGTCATATCTGATAGGAATGAAATCGGCTGCAGAGTGTGAAACAAAGAATGGCTTCCCACGTCAGAGAATTACAGTTTCACTCATTTGGTCCTTTTCTTGGCTTATGCAAGGGAGGTAAGTGTTTCTTCAAAGGCTGGCAGGTAGATGCCTTCCACACGATCTTTAGAAATTGCTGTGATCTTTAAACCGACAGCCGTTTTATTGCAACCTCACATTTTTCAGTAAAACTGGAAAGCTGAGCTTTATACAGTCTGATAAAGACACCATTAACACAACATTTATAGTTGAGATTTTAAAAAATAAAATAAAATAAAAAAATAAAGACATGTTTAAGTCAGTAGGTGAAAGTGCTTGGCTGAAGCTCACCTTGTTTTTTCAGCTCCTCAATTTGTTCCTCCTTCAGATCGAGCTGATCCGTGAGACGAGATGCTGAATCTAGAGCAGCGTTGGCTTCATCCAGGTTTATCTGACAGAGAAAGTTACAGCGTTACATAACGTTTGTCTTACTGATTTTTATTAAAGTGTGACATCCACCGTCTTCAAAGGATTATATGAAATTCTGATATCTAGCAACTTAAAAAAAGAAAAAAAAAATAGCGCTACTGATGCTAATCACAGATATGATTCTCTGACAGGTGATTGGTTGCTGGTTTACCTGGAGAGCAGAAGCTTGGTCCTCCAGTTTCAGAGCTTTTCTTTTCCACTCCTCTTTCTCCTTCTTGTGCTTCTCAAGTTCTGCCGAGTACATGGCTTTCTCTTCTGTCGGAGAAATGCCGATAAAAGTATTACTAAAAGTAATCAAAAAAGGCATTGCCGGGTACACCAACTGTAAAGTGCTATGAGGAAAACACAGTTTTAAATATTCCAGGATAACAGACACACTTATCCTGCTCGAGTCTGGTCTAAACAGCAAAGATCTCTTTGAAGCCCACAAACTTGCCTTGTTGGAATTGCTCTAGCACCATCTGCAGGTTGGAGAGTGACACTGCATACTGGTTGACTTGTTCCTGAGAGGTTCTGAGTTGGGCCAGCGCATCGTCTCTCTGCTTCACCACCCCAATTAACTGCTCCTGCAGAGACTCTACCTGCATGCTGGCCTGTTGGCTGGAAGAGAGAGGATGGGTAAGTAGAAACACAAAAAGAATGACACAAACAGCAATATTGGATCCAAGTGAAAGTAACAGTTTTATAATCAGTAAATAATCAGCTGTCAACTAGTGGGTCAAACAACATTTTAGTTTGACAAAAAAAAATATTTGATCCTACCAGGTTTAAACATGTTATGTAAAAAGGTCAAGGGTGAGGAAAGCCTACTGTAGATGTGTTATTTCTATGCATTTCCACTTCCTTGTCAATGAGAACAAAGTGCAATATACATAAAGAAAATACCTGAACTAATTACAGTAAATAACGAAGAGTTCCTGGTGATTTTATCAGTCTTTAATCAAACCTTTTAAAACACACATTAGTTTTATGCTAACCTGGCACTCTCCACAGCACTTGAGGATGTCGTCAGTCTCTCATCCAGCAGAGCCACCTTCCTGCGCAGCTCTGTCTCTCTGTCCTCTGCAGCGAGGGCTTCTCTCGTGTATGAATCTTCAATCTCCAACAGGTGATTACGCAACCGCTCAAGCTCCAAGTTTAGGCGGTGCTCTTTGTCTCTCACATGTTGGAGCTGTAAACAATCAAACAAACAAAAACAAAAATGGTAGCTTCAGCAGAGTGCCATTTAATTTGAAGCAGCCATGTGTTATTATCAACAGACTAAGTATTTACTTGACTATACAGTTATAAAGGTATATATACACAATGGTTGAGCGACATGATGAAGCAGAGATTCTATACTGCAATAGTCTGAGTATTTAATGAATGAAAACAGAGCATGTATAATGATGCCCGATAATTAAACTTAGTAACCTGGAGGGTTCCATATGAAGTTACAATACCACCACAAGTAAAATTAAGGGCAATGGGTGAATATCGTTCTCTTACCTCAGACTGTAATGCCGCAGTCTCCATTTGCTTCTGCTTGAGTGCCATCATCACCTGATCCCTCTCCTGCTGAAATGCCACAGCTTTGTCCTGCATGGACTTCACTTCGTTCAGGAGCTGATTCAGCTCACCAGATTTACCCTACAAGAGAGCAATAAACAGTAACTCATAAACAAATTTTGAAAGAATAAATGACAAAGTTTCCTGTCTAAAATGACGCTGATGGATACATTTCATTACTAAAATGCGTCAGTATAAATTCAACTACACAAAAAAAAAGTTACTGACCTGCTCTTTGTCTTTGAGCAGTTTCTCCACAGTGGCAGCCTTCTCGCTCATCGCGCTCAGTTCAAACTCCTTCTCTCGCAGCAGGAGGGAAACCTGCATGTTAGTTTCCTGCAGAGCTCTAAACTCTGACTCTTTCTCTCGAGAGCGTGCAGCAACCAGCTCATTCTCCTCCTTTAGCTTCTTCACGTCCATCTCAAGAATGAGCGCACGCTCTTTGAGGTTGGTCACCGCCTGCTTCAGAACCTCGTTGTCATTCTCACGGTTACGCAGTGCTTCACTTACTTGAGCTAGTTGGTCTCCTTTGCTTTTGATGAGCAAGTCTTTCTCCCTCACAGACCTCTGCAAGGCCTCTAGTCTCTCTCTGACCTGTCGAGCCTCCTCTGCCTGACTTCGCTGCTCGCTTTCTGAGGCAGACGCGGAGTTGGAGAGTCTGTGGTTGTTTTCTTGAAGAGTCCTGATCGTGTTTTCTTTCTCAGTCAACAGTGCTTTTAGTTGAACAACTTCTTGCTGCATCTTCTCATCTTTTACAGCAGAATCTGGCTGATGGCTTGGAGCATCAGTACTGAGAGAAGAGCCACTACACTGAGTGGCTGTGACTTCAGGTGTCTGTGTGACGCTGTCCAGTTTACCTAACAGGACATCCTTTGTGCTGCTAAGCTGGGTAATAGTTTGTTGAACCTGTGCGAGCTCCAGACTCAGACTTCCCAATCTCCTTTCCTTCTGCTCGTAATTCTGGACCAGTCGAGCGTAGTCCACTGAGAGCTTTGAGCTACAGTCGCTGTCGGCAGAAACCTGACTCTGCAGTTTGATCAGCTCCTCGTGCAGCTGAGCCGACTCGTGCTGCATGTTCTTGACTGTTGTGATGACCTGCTGCTTCCACTCCTCCATCTTCTTCACCTGCTGCTTCAGTGTGTCCCGCTCCTGCAGTAGCTCCTCAAACTGGTTGCTGCTGACCCCTCCAGAGCCAGCACCGGGCTCTCCTCCTGAGGACTGCAGGACTGTCACCAGCGTTTGGCACTTCTGGGTCAAGGCATCGATCTCTATGTCCTTCTCCCTAATAATTCGAGACAGATTCTGGATGGTCTCCTTGAACATCTCCTGGCTTCCCGAGGGATCGCTCATGTTAGAGAGGCGCTGATTTTCCTGCTGAAGCTTCAACAGGGCTGCTTCCTTTCCTGCCATGATATCCATGAGGCGGTGATAGTCGGACCGAAGCTGGCTGTTCTCTCTGGTCTTCTCGTTAAGCACGGCAATCACTTGCTCTCTCTCCACAGCGTATGCCTGTAGCTGCTGCTGTAAGAACATGACATCCTGGCTGTGTCCGCCTCCCATGGAAACTCTGGCATGAAGTGCCTGAATTTCCAGGTCCTTCTGCATGATCATCTGTGAGAGTTTTCCCACTTCATCACGAGAAACCACCAGCTGATCCAGCTGCCTGGTCAGTGAGAGGTTCTTCTCATTAAGCTGGGTGATCTCAGTCTCTTTCTCCTTGATGCCCCTCACCAGTCTTTCTATATCTACCTTAGACAGGTCATGTTTCTCATTGCCATTCTCCTGATTTAGGGTCTGAGTCTTTTCCTCCTGCAAGATGACCTCTCCCTGCACAGACGGAGAGTTGGCTCTGCTCTGACTCTCACTAAGCTGCTCTACAGCTTGCTGGAGGCGGGTTATCTCTTCGTCTCTGGCCTGGATGAGTCTGTCATAGTTTAGTGTTGTCTGCTGATGGTGAGCACGAGCCTGTTCAATCTCGCTCTGTTGAGCCTGCAGAGACTGTTGAGAGAGAAGTAGAGAAGCTTGCTGTTCCTCAGTGGTTCTCCTCAGAGTCTGGACCTCCTCTTCCAGGGCATTACGGGAGGATTTGAGTTGGGTGATCTCCGTCTCCAGCTCTGTGATGATGTCCAGAGTCCTGGGCTCAGCCAGAGGTTGAGGTCTGCTCTGCTGATCCCTGAGGCGGTCAATCTCCTCTTTCAGATGGCTGTTCTCCTCCTTCATACCTCCCAGCTGCTTATCCTTTTCATCTAGCGACTGTTTGAGCGTTTCAACTTCCTTGGTGAAAACTGAAACCTTATTATCCAGCTCTGTCTGTAAATCCGCAGCATTTTGTTTTAAAGTGTCCATAAAGACATCTTTCTCTTGCAGCAAATCCGTCAGCTGCTGCTGCCCTGCAACTGTGATTGATAGCATCTCATTGGTGTCTCTGTGGTCAGCTGCCACCTGCTCCATATCTCTTTTCAGCTGAGCAATCTCCATGTCTTTCTCCTGGTTTAGTTTGATGGCACGTTCATGCTCAGTCTGCAAAGCAGAAGCGTCCATAGATCGAGCTCGAGTTAACTCCTCGATGGTCTGCTGGTACTGTTTTACCTGTTCTTTTAGTTTGTTCTCAGCCTGCGTCAATTCACCTTCGAGCTGGTATTTCTCCAGTTTTAAAGCTTCAATACGAGTATCCTTCTCCCTCACAACCCTGTTCAGAACACCCTGGCTTTCCTTCAGCTGCTTGGTTAGTTCTTCCACTTTACCCAAGGTCTGCTCATTGTCCGCCTTGAACCTCCTGTTCTCCACCTTCAACTCATAGTCTTCAGACATCACCTTCTCGTGAGAGCGCCTCATCTCATCCAATTCTCTCCTGAGGTCTGACAACTCTCTCTCCTTCTCTGCTAGCGCCTCATTAGCACCCTGTGCCTCACTTGCTCTCTCCCCTCCTTCATAAAGTTTTGCTTTAGCAGCAGATAACAGCTCCTCTTTCTCCTGCAGGGTCTTCTTTAGCTCGGTGACCTCTCTGCGTGCATCCCGGCTCTGCTCCTGTGAGTGTCCCAGTTTGTCTTTTAGCTCTTTCACTGTCCGTTCCAACTGTTGTTTTCCCATATGCAGTTCGTTAAGAGTAAAAGCACTCTGGCTCATTTTCTCTTTTTGGGTCTCCAGCTCTTGCTCAAGTGCCCTTTTCTGGTCATTGGATGTGTTGAGCTCTGCAGTCATTCTTTTCAGCTCCGTCTCAGCCTCTTTCAGCTGTCCAGAGAGCTGCTCTTTCACTGAGATCATATGCTAAAGTAGAAAAACAAACTGTTAATATTGTCTCTACTGTTGGGCTTTGTTGTGTCAAGTTGGACTGTATTTTCGTTTTTGTTTTGTTTTTTCCAAAACAAGATGTTTTTTCAGGGTAAACTATACAGACTTCATATAACTGCTGAGGAAAAGGTTGAGTTGTTTATTGTGCGTTTTTCTAATCAAGTAAAAAAAATTTAAAAGTCCAAAATGTGTCAAGAAATGACAATCTGAGATGCTAAAATGTGACACTTGATATCAAACATCTCTAAATAAGTTGCTGAAATACAAATAAACAAAGAGATAAAGCACCAAAGTCATGCAGACCTGAGTAGCTTCCTGATTTTGTTGGTCTAGTTCCTCCAGTTCAGACATCAGCGTGTCCCGCTCCTCCTCAGTAGCTCTCAGGGTCTTTTCTCTCCTCCCCAGTTCTGCCTTCAAATCATCCAATGACTCCAAATCAGACTCAGCTTCATTTCTGCTGACTAGTTGTTCTTCTGCCACTTTAAGTCTTTCTTGCAGATTAAGCTGTGGACAGAAAATCTGAAACTCACTTACAGAGGCTGAGTACTTTCCGCAACCCATTATTGGCAGGAACCAATCAACAAAACCACCTTTTGTTTTTCTTTGGCGACACTGTGTTGTCTAACTGAGTACTGTTTTTCTTCTTACCACTAACTGACACAATTACACAGAAAACCAATTCAAATAAATTCATGCGACAAGTTCACGGGTGACTAAAATAATATGTATGTACAATATAAACAAACCTTTTCTTGTTCTAAGTCTTCCTTTTCTTGTCTCAGTGCTCCAATAATGGTGTTCAGTTCTAAGATGTCTGCATGCTCGACTTCTTCCTTTGGTTCTGCCTAAAGTTAAAATAAGTCATTAAATCAATTGGAGAAGCCTATGAAGGTGACTCCGGCCATTAAAAGCAAAAACTGCACACCATTTAAATGTATCTGTTGTCCCCATTTAGGTCTTCGTCTTGTGCAACTCTTTTGAAGGTCGGTCTTTCTTTGGTGTCACATTTGACATGCACTAGATCTCCTCTTTCTTTTTTCAAAGGAATGGTACACAACCTCCTTAAATTTGGCAAGCCTGATCCTGTTTGCACTCCTGACCTGATGTGTTGATTTTGTGCTTAGACAATGCAAACTTTCCACCTGAGACTGCTGTTTGATCTGAGTCACAGCTGGAAACGCAAATCTTATCATCGGTGATGATTTTCAACAAGAAAGCTGAATCAATGTGACTGAAGTCCATCACAAAGTGTTCAGGATTGAAAATCCAGTGTAAACAAAAAGCAGCATAAGCACATGAAACAGTGCAGCACGTCACTAGATGACAAGATTAAAAGAGAGGTAGCCAAACTTGCACACAGATAAAGTTTTTGCTTTTATAGCCAGAGTCACTCAGTTTATGCAAACATGTGCACATTGCTGATCTTCATGCTTACCTCATCCAGGTTTTTCAGTCTCTCTATTTCCTTTTCTGCAGCTAGAAAGTGGACATTTTAGTTAATATACAGATAAGCAATGGCTTAAAATGTGACGCCTATGACAATTTTCTGCATCTACATGTGATCAATATACAGTTCCTACAATAAAAATTAGAATTAGCAATAGCCGCAACATCAATAAAGAATGTTAATTAAGCAGATAACACATCCATATGAATAAGACATAATTTAACACAATGAATACCTTCCAAGCTATTTCTTAACATTTGGATCTCATGGTCTAGCTGGGCTTTTTGCAAAGCCTTCCCCTCCTGCTCTTGTACTCGTGTCTGGAGCTCGGCCACGGAAGCCTGCAGCCGCGTGTAGTTCTGCAGGAGCCCGGTATTCTCTTGCTGAGCATCATCCTTCTCAAGCTGTAGTGAGGCTTGTATCTTCTGTGCCTCCTCCAAATTGGCAGACAGTTCGGCCAGCTGCTTCTCGCGCTGCTCCGCCGCTTCTTGCAGGGACTGTATGGTTTGATGGAGTTCATGCAGCTTGGAGCTGTCTGACACAGAGGTGGGCTGACCAACACCTGGAGAAAATTATTAAGAGGACCAATTTAATTTGTGTGCGACACCAGAGTTGTGCGACTGAGATACAACTATTTTACATCAGATGCATTTAAATACGTGCCTTGCTCTAACACACTGTAAGAATTTAGGTCATAGCAGATCATTGTTGCAATAAACTCTCAAAACTCTCTAATGGCCCAAGCTTCCCATAGTTATTCCAAAAATGAGCTGACCACTCTGAGTCTGTTCCTCCAGCTCCTCTATCCTCTCCTCGTACTCCGCCAGCTCCTGCCTGTGTCGCCGGGTGACATCTGCCAGCTTCTGTCGCTGGGCATCCTGCAGAGCTGCAAGTTCATGCTGGTGTTCATCCACCTCACGACTCATCTCATCTCGAAGCTCCTGAAATGAAAATCCCACAGCAGCAAAGTTAGAAAAATGCAATATCATTTGTACAGACAACAATAACAGACCATAACATTTACCTTAATAGTCCTTTGAAGCTTGAGAATCTCACTGTGGTTGCCATTACCAGCTCCTGTTGCTGTTGATGCCTGTTACAAAAAATAAACAAACAAAAAAAGTGTGTTCATGTGGTTATTTAGAAAAATATTCAAACGGTAAAACCATCTGTTCCATAGTCATCTAATTCTTCTGCAGTCTTACCTGAGACATTCGTCGCCAGTGTGCTACCTCCGACTCCAGACGCATGACTTCTGTCGACAGCCTGTTGATCTCTTGCTGCGACCAGATCACGTCGCTGAGGTCCATTTCTTCGCCATGGAAGCCCTGGTGAGATCCTGGGTGACGTGACAGGAAAGAGGAAGCAGAAGAGGAGGTAGTGGACGATGACGTAGTGGTTACGGGCAACATCGCAGGGCCAGCTGAAGCAGACTGGGCTGATTGCTGCAGCTTCTGGACTTCTTCTTGAAGCCCACTCTGCCGAGCTTTCAGGTGACTGATCTCCACCTGAAAGGACAAAAATTACAAGACTTTCCCTAAAAGACTTCCAAATGAAACTGGGTTTGTCTTAGTCTAACAAAGCACAAATGCCAAGTTTGATTTAGGCTAGACTTAATTTTGCCTCCACCAGTGTTTGAATGTGAGAGTGAATGAATAATGGCATTGTAAAGCGCTTTGGGTGCCTTGAAAAGCGCTATATAAATCCAATCCATTATTATTATCATTATTAGACATATATGTCTATTTAGAGCTAAAATTCCTTTCATAAGTAACTTTCCATTGCAGATACATTCCCAGTGTTATTGCCACATCTGCAAACAAGGTTCACATGTTGGTGCATACAAAACCTTTTAATAAATCTAAAACTGAAATAATGTGTCTTAACCACTTTTCAATCTTTTCTCACTTAAATCCAACACTGTTAAATTCATATGTACATACATCTTTCTGCTGCAGGAGGGTCCTGTATTCTGCAGACTGACGCTTGATTTGGATCTCCGCTGCCTCCAGCTTCTCCTCAAGCTCTGCATGAAGCTTTCGCAATCTCTCATGCTGCAACAAAGACATATCAAGGAGTAAAGACTGAAATACAGAAACATTCAGAAAATTAGAATGTATTTACAACTTTTACAGGGATCACAGTCAACTACAAGGCAGACATAT